CAGTACCACGCTGATCTAAGCTACCAAAATTTCTCTTTTAGATCACTATGGTAGATTCCAAATTGGCATCCCTGCTTCTGCCCTCCCCACCTTCATTCTGTTCCCCACACAGCAACCAGAGTGACTGTTGTGAAATGGGAGTCAGCTCACATCATTTCTCTTTTTAGAATCCTCTAAAAGCACCCCATCTCACTCAGAGCAAAAGCCACGGTCTTTGCAATCAATGGCCTACAAGTCTCTATGTGTCCCAATCTTATCTTCTACTACTCAGCCTTTCCCCTGTCCACGTCTATATACTGATGCACCAGCACTGCACTTCTTGAAGCTTCTCAAACATGCCAAGATTATTTTCACTTTAGTGCCTTTGCACTATTTTTCACTGCACCTGGAACTTTTGCTGGCATTTATATGTTAGCTGAAATGAAACTTTTGCAGTTAGGCCTTTCCTTACTACCCTATTTAAAACTATAATCACTCTAATATTCCTTTTCCCTTTCTCTGCTTTCTAGCTTCCATTAATATTATATAATGTGTTCATTTATTTGGTTTATTGACAGTTTTCTCCCACTAAAAGATAAGTTCCATTAGAGCAGAATTTTTTCTCGTTTTTTTTTTCTCTTTTATCTCCTGTACCTAGAACAGTTACTGTCACATAATAGGTGCTCAATAATTTTTGTTCAATGAATGAATGGCTTCCTATTCTATGAACAATGATGGAAGCTCGACAATCTATAATTAATGACTTACAAGAGCTGACCTCTGTCTTCTAAATTAATTCTTACAAATTAGCCTTCTTCTCTAGTCAAACCACACTATCCCTGCAACTCACCGTCCTATTTCCTAGTCATTGTTCTTATGTTTCCATAGTCATCCATGCTTATGTAAATGAGCCCTTACTTCAAAGCCTACTTCAAGATCATCTCTGTAGTATAGGGTCAGAAGAATAAATATTTCATATATTTGATTTGAAAATATAGAAAAATATGAACATACAATCAAAGTTAATCATAACTCTACCACCTTGCTCAATATTTATTAACTATGAATCATTTTTATGCATATCTATATTTACTTTTTAAAATTACTTTCGTATCTGGTTACACTTTTTTGTAGTTTGTACTTTTGACTTTATAATATTCAT